ATTTGTAGCGTGGGAAAGTAAAGAATTCGTCTGTAATGGCGTATTTGGGGGAATCCCAGGTCATGAGTTTATCAAAGATTTAGTTCTCGATTTAGATAGTAACTGGATGACATTTGTTAATGGAACGATAAAGCACACGTGTTAATCGCCACACGTAAGTGGGTATTTTCACAAGGTTCGTTCGCACAAAACAATTATTAAAGAAAGAAAATGCTTAGCAAAAGTAAAAAGTGATAAATACTTCTGTATAATAATCCTACGTATAAAAAAATATAATAAAATCTACCTGTGATGTTGGGAGTTGCTCTTCCGCTGACTGATTCATGTGATGAAAGTACACATACAGCAATGAGACTGATGAAAATAAACGTATGAAAATGAGGAAGTAGGCATTTTCGTTATTTGTAAAAAAGCTCTACTGAAGAGCTTTATTGAACAAGCGAGTTGTATTCTTTCAAGCAGAAATAGACGACACGGCACCGTCTCCCGTCTCGTTCGAACCCGTTCCACAATGTGATGCCTGTAGAAGATTTTTATGACGAAGCGTTTCCACCAAAGAATCCGAGGTCGACTGTTGCCATGCCGCAATTAGCTTTTGCTCCAAGTGCGCCAGTGCATCAAGAACCCGTTTCACAAGGACACTCAGAGAGTCAAATATTTTGTCCTGCAATGACTAAAGGTATTACTGCGCCCAGTACATCACCTTCGATTACGAAACCAAAAGAGATTAAGCTTAACGTGAGCGATCCATCTGTTAATCTGAGAGAATCATTCGCACTCGTCCAAGAAAGGCGATTGTCACAAAGAACGTCATCCGAAACTGCGCCTCTTGTCTTGAGGTGATTCACGTATGGCGCAGAGCAGACGAAAATGAAATTTTGGATCGATTTAGCAAATAGAACTTGTTATCTTTCTTTCTATATTGTTTATCAGCGATTAATTGTATTTTCAACATTTCAGGAGAAACCTCCAACTTGGGACATACAATTACATTTACAGAAAAGAAATGCATTGTTCTCATGCAAAAAACAAGACTTTTAATCGTGCTAGGGAAAACGCGATGTGGATGACCGACGAAGAAATACAAAGGGTTGATACTGATGTTGTTTCAAAACGTTTTCTTCATGTGGGCACGGTTGATAATGATTCAAAAGAGTTAGGAATTAAGAAAGTGTCTTCGCAAGTAGAAGATAGGATGGGGTTAGTTGCTCTGCAGACAAAGGGTTCGACAATGTATTACATTTTTACTAAGAAGAACCGATTAAAAGTAAGATACTAATTTCTCCATTAGATAGCTCTTCTGGAATTCTACAGACAATCGATACTAATGTATTTGTGAATGATTTGAATCACCCAGAACACCGCATCTCTAGAACTGTTGGAAAAGGTGATAGAAGTACGTATATATACTACTTTGTGGCGTTTGGAACAACTGTTTTCATTTAATTTGATTTAGAGATGATGCACAAACTTCGATTGGATTGTCGTTTTGCATTTCCGTGGTTTACAGAATCTCGGGAACACTTGCTATGTGAACTCATCGATACAGTACTTAGCTAATACTTTGAGCTTGACAATTTTATGGCCAAATGCTACTGGTGCTACTACGCATAGCAAGCTATTTAAAGTGTTGATTAGGATGAATCTATAATACGTCTAAATTACCGGTACAAAGATAGCGTTGATTAGAGATTGCTTGCAAGACAACTCAGGATAATAAAAAAAAGGTTTTTCGATTCTGAATTTGGTATCTATTTCCTAGTTAATTTTCTCAGTTTCAAATCTGTCTTAGTATTGTGATTGAAAGTACTAAACATGCAGTGTAGAGCAATACATCATGCCGTTAAAGGAGAACTCAGATCTTTTCTCCTTGAGTTTTTACTACAAATATGTGTACTGCAACTTTTGTTTTTCTTTTGAAAAAGATTTGCGGAGAGTCAAAGGTGAGCTCGCACTTAGGTCCTAAACGAGTGTATCGGTCTTTATTACTTAAACACATTCTGTTTTCTTAGTATTGTCACTCTTGTCAGTACTATTGCTCGGTTTAGATGAAACTTCATGTATGCAATGCATGGTAGGAGACCTTGTGTATAACGTTCGCCAGTCAGGTACAAAGCCAGTATTTCCAATTACGTTCATCGATAAGCTCAAAATATTAAACGACAGATTTGTTGTCCCAGTACAGCAAGATCTAGATGAATTTCTTCAATTATTGCTCGTCCTAATGATCAATGATGGACAGCGGTGTTTCCATGTCTTCAAGTTACCAACATGCTAAGAAATTCAACCAGAGGATTACAAGATTTAACGATTATCAATCACTCATTCAATATGCAATTAGCAATGTATTGTGTTTGTGAAAATAAGGCATGCGGTTATGTATCCAGAAGTGAAAGTAATGACCATTTTCTACGGATAAGTATAACGCAGTCCACTCTGTTTGAATGTTTAGGGGATTTTTTCAAAGTTGAACAACGGGATGGAGCAGCAGATTATGAGAGATGTAAACAGAAAAGCTTACGCTGAAAAAAATTCTCTATTTCTAACCTTCCAAACAATATAGTCATATTGCCAGAGCGTTTTGATTGTGAGCTTAACTTAAGAAAAATTTCGACACCAGTCGTCATTCCTAATCGAATTAATATCAAAGAAATTATCGATGAACATGTATATCCAGGATATCTCGCCAGATTAGATTACGGCTTATATGCTGTGATTGTACATAAAGGCAGCAGTTGTCATCAAGGACACTATTATGTGTATGTTAAAAACTCTGATGGTAAGATTCACAATGTATCATTGAATAAAGTGCAAAGTGAGATTACAGATGCTTATATATTGTGTTATGAGAAGCGAGAAAGAACAGCTGCAAATGTGCAAACAATTCACCAAAATCAATTAGAACACTCAGGTACCATCGTTATCAGAGTGTCTCCCGTAGAGATGTTTTCGTTCAATATGGAGGAACGGTTAAAAGAAACCGACCTAAATACCAAAAATAATTCTTTTTCACCCTTATTTAGATACATCTGAGAATATAGATCTGCACGTTTACACTGGACAGACCAATACTTTTTTGGGGCCACAGACGCAACCTCTGGCAAACGAAAAGGTTAGTACATGAATAGAAACATTGGTAGAATATTTTTCTTTTTACATTAGATATAATAAATTCTGCTGAAAATATATCAACCAGAAATATGGAATCAGATGACAAAAGTAATCATTTAAAAGCTAAGCTCCTCTTTGTTTAACAGAAGTTAGGTTTTTTAAGCTCTTCCTTAACTTAAGTGTCCAAAGGATAAATTTTAAACCTTTAATTTCTTGACTCTGGCATGCATTTATTTTTCATTTGAGCAGTGAATAATACTTCATTGCTGACATCTAAGAGCCTCTGTTCGAGTCAAAGATGTTTTCAGTTGTATTTGCAGATTATACTACTCAATCCACAACAAACAGTTCCATGAATTAGACGCCGCAACATTTCCTGTCAAAAGAAAGAAAATTGACGAAGCATCTATTCGTGTACGCGATCAAGATTTGAAAGTGTATGCAATTAAAGCTGCCATAAATCAATGGAGCAACGATTTTCCTGACGAAACAAGTGGAGAAGGTATGTTTACTTAAACCTATTTATTCATACATTTAACAATGATATTTAACACTAATAGATGAAGTTTTGGAAGGAGACGATATTTTACAACATATTCCGATGCCACAAAATGAGAATAGAAAGAAAATACCAGTCACTCGAGAGATTCGAAGATTAAGGTCACTTTGAATATTCAGGTATGATATATCTAATACTCTTCTTTTGTATATTTTGAAAGGATGATAGTGAACAGCCACTGTCATTTGATATAATCGCCAATGATCTAAATGAGAAATAGTGTAGTTTACTGTAGGAACTGACACAGATGAAGAACTATTTTCAGAGAAAAAAACATTTATTCGTAAAAAACAAGATATTTTAGAAGATAATGAACATGGTTACGCAAAAAGTCGTACGACCCCCAGAATTCTAACTTCTGAGGCCATCTCAAACTTGTTGGGGATAGATATACCTGATGAGTTTTCGAAAACGATCCAAGAACATAAAAAATTAAAACTATCGTCGGCTCATCTAGAAATTATTAAACAAAGACATATTATTAAGGTATCAGAAAAGCGGACAAAACAACAGAGCGATGATAAATCGGACTATGAAAAACGCAATTTTATGGTACCAGAGACTGTTATACAGTATGTTAAGACAATCAATCCGTACTGCAGTTTATAAACATATACAAACAAGTTTACAGTTGCTACTGAACAAAATTCTGCTTGCGAACTATTGGCTATTGCGGCATAAAAAATCCCGATTGTTCATTTCGGTTTACCGTCGATATCCACATGAACGGTGTCGTGTTCATCAACACAAATGGTACCTCCTTTATTGCATTACATTGCGTTACAAGCTATTAACACATTCTAACGGTATAAATTTTATGGCATTATAATGCATAAACTGTTTAGACGTTGTAACACTATATGTGGGACTTGATGTCCTAAGTCTCGAGACTTAGGACACGCTACTGACTTGATCAAGTCACCAACGTATATGTCTGATATAGATGGAGCAATCTTTTCCAGACCAACTTTTCGAGAGGAATTGATTGTCAATCTCAGAATATTATGAAAATGTGTTTTTGACGACAAAACCGTCTATTTTCGTTTTGCATATTGTCTAACTCGTTGTAGCGCATTAACGCCTAATGTATTACACCGCGTTCCATTTTCTCATCTCATTGCATTTAGGTAGAAAATAATAATGTATTCTAATCTATTAGATATTAACTCGTTACAATACGATATGCATTATCTAATGATTTATAATGCTATAAAAGATTTTTTCGAATTTTATGGCATTACAACACGCTACAACATCTGTAAAAACGTACAACTCATTAGTTCATCTCTTGCTAAAAGACTCCATGCAGTTTATACTTGATGCTGTGTGCCACTTTATTGTGAATACTAACAGATTTTGAATCAGTTTGCCAGTTATACTAAACATCCAACATGCCCTACCCTGAAAATGCTTATCATGTGTACTTCGGTATGCGCTGGTGTTTTCTTTCTTCAAGTAAATAAAGTTTAAATCAACATCATTGGCTTTAATAACAACTCTCTTCTCGTTCCAATTTGTACTAGCTAGAGGAAACGGTGAATAAAATAGAGTGGTCATGACTTATCTATAGAAAACAAATATTTATAATTTCAATTTATTCAATCACTTAATGTACTAATTGGATTTCGTATAAATCAACAAGTGAGTGCTTAGTTTTATTTAATATTATACACATTCAATTTTTAACAATTATTATTATACACAATATCCCAGTGATCTTTTTCTTTAGCATATACATTTCCACTTCCTGCACGATATTGTGGAGCGTTGTCACCGGGTCTATTACCAATAAAAGCAAAGTTTCCCGTGATATAATTGTTGACACAGGTATTTAATGATATATCAATTTTATAACCATTCCAATGAGAAATGCCTGCACCCGTTCCGTGACCAGTTTCAGTACCACCTGTGATAGTGACTGCACATCCACTCGATTGTTTGAAGATTTTAATACAAGTAATCGCGGTACAAGTTATTTGATCTAATGACGTACATGATGGATTATTTCTGTCTGAACAACCACCACTCGACCAAATAGGAATGCCAACAGATTGAACAGAACTCGCAGCGCTT